TCTCCTTACAATCATCCAAATCCTTACATTCGTTACATCCCCCGAACACATGCACTGAAGATTTACCACCACTTTCACGTATTCTACTAATTTTTTTTTCGATCCTCATCTAATACTTACAAACTGTAGTCTCATTTCCTACCCTAAACCTTGCTATTACGTCCAAATCTTTGTTTCATTTTACATACTCCGACTCACTCGCTCCCTAACAATGCCCCCATAACAAGGCTTTCATACATTTCAAATCATCCACCCTTATCGTCTCCCCACGTCTTACGTTCACCATTTTTCCTGCACGCAGATTTATACTCATCCATTTGTTTAATTGCACCCGATTCAATTTTAACTCCCTTAATTTAATTTTTACTCACTTTTTTATCGTCATCATCATAAGGTCGTCAGTCCTAAGACTGGTTGGTTCCACTCCTTCCTATCCTGAGCTAAACTTCGCATTTATCTAAAACTAGAACAACCCACATCCTTAACTATTTACCAACCTTTTCTTTTCCCTGCGCCCATTGTCAATGTTTAGCACCCGTACAACGCCGCGCTCCAAACACACCTTTAGCAATCTTTTCCGAGTTTCTACATTAACCGTTCGCGAGCATAGAAGTGACTTATTATTATTCTAATTTTTCGTCTCCTATCTTTATATTCACTCTTTCCCTACTTTTTCTTCCTTGCACACCAGTATTTTAGTTTTACTTTTATTTATTTCCATACAGTACTGATCTGTCAGTAGCGTATTTATCGTACATATATTTTATTCCAATTTTTAAGATTCTCTTCCTCCATCCTTCCCTTCTTATATCCTTTGCTTCTAGAAAAGATTACAAAAGTTTTTCGCAAAATAACCGATGCTCATACTGACAATGGTTGAACGATCTAATAGATGGCCAATTATCTAAGGTAATTGTGCTAAATGTTTAATGAAAATTGCGGTAATGATCAGCCAATTAAAGGGACTATTTAGCTAAGCCGGGGAAGTGGGCGGCTAAACTTAATCGCGTACAGGACCGTAATAAGCCCCTCGCACAATGAAGTTGATGAAGACAACCCACACTTCCTTTGAAAACCTCAAGGACGGTAGCTTGGGAATCTGGAAAACTCTCTAGAAAATATCGTCTCGTTTATTCAGATAAAAATAACGCTAAACGCTACTAATAATCGTTCACAGGAGAATGATTTTTAGAATAACGAATTTGTAGAAGGGCATGATAAAAAGATTAGAAAATATTACTTAACGAGGAGTTTGTGGAAATACAGTGCACAAAAAATTGTAAATAACTACTTAATTGTACAAAACACATCAGAAAAATTTGATTTTGTGAAGCTATTATACATAAGGAAATCTAGAAGAAGTAGAAGAATTCAAATATCCAGCACACACAAAAGAAACAACAGAAATCACCGATGTAGGTATAAGGAATTGGAGAAAAGAAATTTGGAGGAAACTGGAAAAGAAGTATCTTGATGTTTCATATTTTGGTGAAGACTATTTTTATGTATGGAGTTGAAATTTGGAGATGGCAAGCTAAAAAAACTGGAATACCTGCAGGCCAGGTACATAAGGTAGCCCTTGGGCTTAGAGATATTCACGCTAAAGTATGGAATATACATTATCCTAGAAAGAAACTAAGAGAATCAATATGTATAGAAGCGGGATGAACAGATACTGTTGTTTATACATTTTTTAACACAAACCACTGCCATCTAGTATCAATGTAATGGTGAATGTGAAAACTCATACCAGAAATGAGAAACACTACAACGAAGAGCAATTCTACACGATAACACGGGGCCAATCAATCTAGTCCATTCAATAATACGATTATTATTGGACGAAACCTGGTTATTATCAAAGCAGATATGATAACAAACATGCTTATCAATAACGACTAGATAGTAAGAACAAGCCGATTGTTTTTATCAACAAAAATAAAAAGGAAAAGCAGTAATTACTTAATGTTTTTTAGGTATAGTTACTGGTTATTATGTTTTTTAGGTGCAGTTAGTGGTTACCGAACTTTAATTAATTCCTTTATAACTGTATTTTCTCTATAAACACATAAAAACTTAACAAGATAGAAGAAAATACTAAGAAAAATGTATAGACACAATGAAAGCTATAGCACAGTGACAGAACCTACCTTAAATAAGAAAACATTAAACCGAACCACTAATAAATTATACATAAAACTTTTTACAAGACTTGTTAAGAGAAGAAAAAAAAAAGTAACAACAAAACCGATAAAAACTAATAGGTTCATTGACAGAAGCTAATGAAACATCCACGGCTGAGACATTAGAAGGTTGTTAAAACTAAACTATTGAAATTTATCCAGGGTTAAAGACCTTTGTTTTATTTTTGCTTCAATTTATTTTTTTCTATGCGAGCTACTTGATCAGATCTTTAACACCGAGTTTCTTAGAATTGTGATGATAAGAACTTCCAATTTTCTTAAAATTTTTGTATGTTGTACAGTTCAGCATGATGAACATGACAGCAACAACGCTTACTGCAGTTGTGCTATCTTTTCCTACCTTAGCTTAACCTAGTCTAACCTTAGCAACAACAACTCTTTTATTTAATTGTTTTGAACAACAAGGACAGAGTGTTGCCGTTGCCATGTTCTTAATTTTGTTTAATGCTGGGCAAACCCAAACAAAAAACTCACTTTTGATTAATTTCTTTACGGAAGGGTTGAATTTAGTCCTCTTTCTTTCTTTAAACCATCCAGAACTATGACAAATAACGATTTCCCCGAAAGTGAACAATTACCAGAACAACTTATACGGCAAGGAGTTTTCAATAATAAATCATTTACCCTTACTTTTAATAAATGATTTAGTAACATATCCCGAGATCCCGGAACAGGATGTGTCAACTTACGGAAGACAGTAGCAGTGTATCTGTCTTTAGCACGCGTGTGTGTGTTTCTGTGCGTATCAGGGTCTACGTCAGCTGTTTCCCGACGACGCCGATGCCGACGCCAACGACAACGACGACAGAGTCGGGCGACGAGGTCACTCCAAGTTATTCGCCTTTAGCCAACGCGTGTCTGGAATAGACGCGGCGCGTCGTTACGTCACCGGTATCACATGCGGATGCCGCAGCAGACGCCCGCCGCAACATCGACGTCGGCGTCGTCTCACGCTGTTGTCGACGTCGCCGACGCCTTCGACGCTTCTTGCCAGCCAACTGTAACTGTCGACAATAAAATACGCCAACGCGGAAATGCTTCCAACATGTACGTGTGCATGTATGTACCGAAAACCGAGTAAAAATCCATAAACACGCAAAACGGACGCAAGAATCGTGTAGAGGAAGTTTAGGGAATTTTGCGGCATTTTTTTTTTAAACAAATGCCATAGAAATGCTATAAATACTTTTAGGTTTTACTAAATCAAGAGATGATGCGTTTACTACATCATAAAACAAATTCACAAAAAAAAAAGAACAAATGCAGACAAATTTGCTACTTACTGTAGGATTCAACAGTGTTCAACAACATCACTTTTCAATAAAGATATTGAATGGCCGATTTGAACCAACAATTAAATAGAATAAAATGTTCTTGAGCCAGGAACCTTTTCAGTTTGGCAAGTCGACATCCTTATTGAACATTATTAAATCACACAAGTAGCAAATTTCTACGCACCTGGACTAACTAACTCTTTGAATGCTGTTTAATGGCATCCGGTGTTCTGCCTTAGATAATACATACGGCGTACCGATGAGATCCAAAAGTTTTCAGATCTTGATTCAGTTCCAGCAGAATATTTACTAATCGTAAGAGTATTTTCGACAAAAAAAGTTAAACAGCGTGTTTCCCCAGTACCTTTATTATGTTTCTCGAAATAAGACTATGAATTACAAACTCGGCTAGTCTTTTTGTGAAATTGTTAACGTTGTAAACTCTAAGTTGGTGCCTATTACATGTGCTATGTTAGAGTTCCAATAAACCCTTTTTAACACTAATTGGGCATAATTTTCAATGAGGGGTGAAAATTCTGTCCATTACATAGTTTGGATCATAATTAAAATATCGATCTGACGAGAATGTTCGTACAACAATAATAAATTACCGTCGGCCATTTTGGAAAAAGTACCTACATCAAAATATTAATTAATTCCCAACGGGATCAAATATTTACCAATGGAACAAATTAGTTATTTAGCTTATTACGAGTCTATTAAAACGAAACAAAACTTGCGAGACTGCAACGCTAATAAATAATCGTTGCATTTCAAAGAAAATCATCGGCAAACACTGGAATTGATACATATAAATGTTTGACGTTTGACTTGCGAAACCGTTGCTTCATTTCTATAGATAAGATATGCGAAAAGGAAATGAATGAATTGATAATAGCGTTGTCCAAAGTGCGCCGCACTCGAAAAACTATCATTCATAAAGTTATCAATACAAGAATGATCGGGTCGAGGGAATTATCGTTTCGCAAACATACAACAGAACCGTCAATGATACAAAATACGTACAAAATTGGGCTACAATATCACATATTAACAACAACACTGGCTTTATACACATTAGAAATATATATACGCTATATATTAATATTTATCCTATTGTGAAAAATCCCTAATTGAATGCCGTACTTCTTTCTTCCATCCAGATCCGTAATTCACATATTAAATTTAACACAATTAAAGATCTGTTAGTGTAAAAATTGGTTTCTACTTCATTTTCCATCCAATCGAACACAATACAAAAGTATGGAAATTCTAAAATATTTTAAGTTCATTCAACTTCCCCTACAGGTATTCGTTTACTTCAATTTTTTAATTAATTTCAAATACTTTGAAAATCAATAGTTCCATTTAATTGAAGAACTTCTGGCATCGACAGGATCGTAATAGGAATTTAATAAAAATATCAGATGAAATTTTAGTAGGTAGAGGTAGGGTATTGTTGTACGTAGTTACTTAAGAAACCCATGACGATAACGCGAGTCAACAAACAATTTTGCCTTACCTTTCAACTGCAGATCGCTGTTTGCTTTCGACGTTTCTTATCGAATTCGATTCAGAGTTTCTTCGCTCAGCTTTGTTCGCAACTGCAACAACAAAACGTTTCATGTTGTCAAACTGTCACAGATACACTGATTAATCAATAATAACGTTTCAGTTGAGATAACGTGTGCCCTAATTCTAAAAAATACACGGTTAACACACAAATATGAATATTTTCGACATTGTTATTACCACCGAATGTTACATGTTCGGTTGAACAAATATCAATTAGAGAATTTATTTTTAGTTTTCCATAATAACAACAAGGCCCCCGCTTTACTTAATGAACTGATATTGGGCATATCTTAAGAAGTTTAACCAATGAATGACGTCCGATGAAAAAAAAGCTTGCATCAACTGACGTAAATCTATTTGTAAATTGTAATGATAGTGATAAAACATCAACTTTGAGCCTAACAACACTTAATAATTGTCAATTATTACGACTTTACATTTAATAAATCAATTTTAGCATTTAGCATTAAATGAATGTTACTTTTAATACATAAATATAGAACATCTTGATCATCAACACAAGGTGAAATTCTTTTCTGGTCTGGACATTACTAAATGCTGCTAACACATGATGTGGTTTTTGTATGTACAAATTGGAATGAAACTGTCACACTACAAGTCAACAATTTCTATACATATTGCTAATCAAATAAAGCAGAGCGATCTAAAATTTTGGTTCATAGGTTTGTTTGCTGTTAAAAACTGATGTGGAGTCACTAATTTGTAGACCCTACCTATAGGGTATAACAGGAGTAACTGCCGAGCATTCGAGGGTGTAAACTAAATGTAATAATCGATAGCAAGGTGAGTTCGGCAAGATTAAGCGATTTTTTAAGAAAATCAAAATAATTTACAATCCGAAGTCGGTCCTGTGCGTGAATTGACAACATAGGTGTCTACTGAATAGTATTGTACGTTAAAAATCTGCAACTACATGGATGGAGAACGTAAACAGTACCGATTATTAATCGAACGTCTAAGATAGCACGAGGTAAAAGTACGAACACGAAAGATGTACGACATGCGAATTTGCGTCGAACTAATAGCGGTTATTGAGAACATTCCAAATTCCGTTCTGCGTCTGTAAACAAAACCCCGTGGTAAAAATTAGGCTACACAGCACTTTTCCTTTGAAACCACCGACACAAATCTACTCGCGGCTGAAAATCAGTTCATTGAAAGAAGCAGATGTCAACATCAATCCTTAAGGACTTGAGGAACGCATTATACACTACAGATCCATGGTTTTGACAAATTGCTTCGCGAATTGGTCACTGGCTTGTAGAAACTGCCCACTAAACAGACATTTAAAAGATTTAGCAAGTGGTGTCGGTAAGTTTCTCACGAAGAATTTAATTTATTGAAGACACAGCACATTATTACCACTTTTTGGCTATTACCTACAAACTTGTAATTTCTGCTTTCTTATCTATAGTCTTTGGTTTACGATTAGTGCCGATGATAATTCAAATAATTTCGTAAGATACTTCGTCATCTGAAGTTAAATAATGTAATAACCTGAAGAGGTCAGAGTAGTTAGCACACTGGGTAGCATTAACATGAGTTACAAATGCGTAAGGATTAAAAATTGATAAGTTTACGAGCAATAGTACAAATGATCGCCATCTGTCGCCGTTTTAGCTATTAAATAATCATAATAATAATAATAATTGTTTTACGATTGCTTACGCATTATTACTTAACGACAAACGGTGGTGCAGCCAACAGCAAAACACTCATATAATACAACATTACCAACTCACTCACAAATATCCGAGCATTCTTCCGTAGGTAAATTCCGATGAAAAGTAAATATTTACCGGTGCAGTTTCCCTGAACGCATTCCTTCCAACATTAGCCGTAATAAACAGTTTCGTTTAACTTGAAACCTCGTCTGTAGTTACACGCATAATAGGTGTAATGTTATACTACAATACACGCATTCTATCGGGCTTTTTGCTCGAAGGAATTCGTATAGAAGGCACGAATAAGAACGTTAAAAAACGATGCGAACGTGGTTGAATGTCCGATTCCCAACACATAATACATATGTACATATGTATTATGTATGTGCATGTATACAGTAACTATGTCCATCTATGTAGCAGGAACTTCTTATGCGATGGACAGGAGAATTTTTAGTAAAAACTCATGGAAAATGACGAAACAAATGTATTTACTTTCTACAACAGTTTTTAGAGCTCGATGCCTTTAAAGAAAGACGAGAATCCTTACAAGATTATTCACGTGTCCTTTGGTATCCATCTTGGAAAAATTGTACAACAACGCTTACAAATATCTAACACGAAATAGACTAGCAACGATAGCTTTTACCAATATTCCTAAAATGAGGGTAGTCAAAAATCTTCCAAGCGTTTGAAGTCTTTTTGATATGGTTCAAGTTCTTTTCACAAGTGCTTAGGGGCTTTATAAAAAGTTAATAGGAATTTCTGAAGCATTCGAAGCATTTTTGATGTGGTTGCAGTCCTTTTCAAAAGCATTTAGAGCTTTGAACTTTATCACTTACCAATAGTATTGAGCAAAATTGGTCTTTCAGTATTTACATTAAAAAAAAAAAAACCAAACACAAGGATTTACAAGTTTAAAACTATTTGAAGCAAATTTACTATATTCATTTCTTGGAATAAAACATTCTTAGTATTTGAAATTTTCAATTTGCTTTACCAGATTTTAAAACTAAATAATAAAAGAAAACCTTAGTAGTGTTTGAAATAAGGGAACTACAGGAATGTTCTCGGAAGTAAGTGTACTTTGTTCCTTAGTCTGGATAACTCATTGTTAAAATATAGACAAATTAATTTTTTTCTATATTTTTAATTTTTTCAAGTACCTTATACTATTTTTTTGCTAAAAGATTAATTTATACGCTGAAGGAGGCCTAAGTTCTCGAATTGCATAACTCTTATAACTAACGAAACTATTTTCTTTAAAAGTTATGACAAGCTCGCATGTCTGACAGAAAATTTCGGCGTTTAACACAATTTCTCTGTCGGTGCAGAAAAATTTGTGATTAGAATTAATTACTCAAAAAAAAAGTAAGTATCAGATCAAATAAGATAAATCAAGATCGCAGACCGGCACAGCCTTGCTCATCACTACTTTTCAAAGTTATCGGTAATTCATCAAAATGTAATTGGAGTTTTGAGGAAGAAACTGTTTTTGAATGAAAGAAATTGCTATGGGATTAAAGTCTTTTGGTGAGGGCATTATCATTGGTCCTTTTCCAGCTATCTTCCAGTCTTTTTAATTTCATTCGGGCAGATTTAAAATGAATAACAAAATATAAAACAAACACTTCTTATTATAATAAGTAATAATTAGACGTTAAGACTATAACTAATTATTTTTTGTTATGTGCGTTTAGTTTCAGACAGTTGATTATTTTTGTCGCCTATTGTATAAGTCGAATATTTTCAGTCTCCGTACATTATATGTATGAAGACAATGGAATGGTTCAAAAAGTGGGTCATTCCAGGGTGGGAATTCTCTACATTGGAACGGTCACTACATAAAACGAGGTCTATTTTGAGAACGAAATTAGACTAGTGTTTCCTGTTCTTCTATGTACAAACATACATGAAATCAGTCATAAAAATAAGTTGCAAACAAAGTATGGTGCTGGTGCCAATACTCCCCCTCCCCTATCGCATTTCTGCTTGTAATCTGATTCGTTTACTGCATTCACTCGATCAAACGGCAACAACTTAATCCATATAAAAGCACAAGTAAATATAGAAGACATTTGTTACCTACTTTTTAAAATGCAACGAATAGCGCAAAACTCACAAAAATACGCAAAAGAATATTAGAATTCATTTTATTGATGCACCGGATTGTTATTTTGCATGATACCTACTGGCAAACCGGGAATCCCGGAAAAACCATTAGTTTTAATCAAGAGAGTTATATGGTGTGGTAACCCTCTATCTCTCGTCCACGAAGAAGGTTACCAAGTTTCGCCCTGAAGAAAGTCCAGAACATTCGTGAGTATTTGAGAGCATTCCATAATATTCCGGAACATTATGGAATCTCATGTCAACTCCCTGAACGAACCTGAAGGGCATGCTTTTGAAGATATGAAGACTGAAAGATTCGCCCTGTAGAAATTCTTAGAACAGTCCAGAACATTCGAGAGTATTTGAGAGCATTCCATAATATTCCAGAACATTATGGAATCTCATGTCAACTCCCTGAACGAAGCCGAGTAGTCCAGCTAGTGGTTTAATAATAACTGGATTATACGTATATTTATAAAGGAATCTGTAATAATAACAAAAAAGTGGAACAACTGAAACAAAGTGCGAAATTCTCACAGCCAGAGTGTTATCGATGGCGTGGTTTTTAGGAAGAGTTCGCGCATTGATAGTCGACCGGACTGGTTTCTTTCGGAAAAATGTTAAGAACGCCATTCTGGAAGAGAACACTCGAACGTTTCCTATTAACAACTACCGTTTTTGTCATATCCGTGTAAATTCCTCAAGAACGTTCTCAAAAGAGATGAATAAAACCGCTCGCATTCGAAAAAAGCGCGAGAGACCGAGACTGGCCGCCAACCACAACCTCACCGAAAGGTGTTTAATTTTTCGGTTTCGTCGTAATTGCGACTAGGCGCCTTTATGCTCTATTTATCGGCAAAATCTGGCAAACTGCTCATTGTTTATTGCCTCTTACAATTAGTCGGCGTCCAAGTACACAAGTAAGCAACCGCATACACAACAACGCCACCACCGATAACTCTGACTAATCTCTGAACACAAGCAATACCGACCATAACCAATTCAAATTTCGAAAATTTACACCAGCCTTTCATCATAATAAGGTCGTCAGTCCTAAGACTAGTAGGACACGCACTTCCACTCATTACTATCCAGAGCTAATGTTCGCATTTACCTAAAATTAGAACATCCCACATCCTTAACTATTTGCGCACTACTAGGGGAGACCGGGGATCGTCGACTAGCTTTTTACTGAATAGTTCATATTTTTTGTGTTTTAATGTATATAGACA